AAATGGTAATGTAATAGATATATCTATATTTGTAATTATGTAGACTTAACTAGATTTTGGTCTTAGCAATGTTGTAATCTTATGGGAATAATTTCACATTTGATCTACATTTATTTAATTTACAAATTTGCCTGTGGTGTAGATACCATAGAACCATTCATTGCATAAGGCGACATAGTGACCACTGCAAAAGTATTTTTTTGATAACTTTTATTGTTGGATTGTTACATTGACCCCATATTTCCAATATAAATAAAATAAAAACAGTTTCCTGCATAGACAATTACTTATTACAATTAAATGTATAAAGTTCTATTGTTGAAGGCATTTCTTATCTGATATTGTACTCCATTAACTTTTTCAAACAAACAATTGTTCATGAATCTGATGAAATTTATTTGTATTTAACACCAAATCCTGATAAATGTATTTGTTTTGTTCTTATCTGGCTACTTTTCACTGGTTTCCACCTTTCTTCTGTTTGAATAGTGAGAAATCTGGATAAATTTCTCAAGTGGGAGAACTTTGTCCAATAAAGTTTTAATTCACCATTGGTTATTGCAGAGAAAATATGGAGAGGGTTTAAAAAATTTTGTAATGATTTGTTTGAATGAAGTTTGTAAAATGAGATATATTATTTCCTTGTGGTAATGTTATTGAATAACTTAACTTCTTATATAATATCTTGATCTATATTTAGTGTATACTTGTCCCGATAAGGAGAAAAGACATTTGTTTTTGGTAAAAGGGAGAAAAGATGTCAATCGAAAACATAAGTCTAACAAAACCAGACAAAACCATGGCGTAGTAAAGTGTCAACAACAACAAAAAAACATTACATAGAAAACATAAAGTCTCACCAAACAGAACTCCACCAAAAACTTCTACTGAACAATCTTCAATTTTCTGTGAAACATTAATGGACTGTTGATTATCAATAAAAAGAGATGTATGTTATATGTCAATGAGACAGCAAACAAACAACACAGGTATATTTGTTTCTGTTCATATTGTAGTTTGTACTCCTTTTGTTCATGACCCTTATGGAAAAATAAAGCTTCTTGCAAATATTTGCGGCAATGTTGCTGCAAATATTTGCGGCAATATTGCTGCAAATATTCATTTTTCGTATGCAAATTAGTTTTCTTGCAAACAGTTGCTGCAACATTGCCGCAACAAATTGCTGCAATATTGCGGCAAATGTTTGCGGGAAAATCAGTAGCTGTGATTGTTGCAGCAATATTGCGGCAAATTCATTAGCTGCAATGTTGCAGCAATATTGCAGGAAAATTAATTTCTTGCAATATTGGAGCAACATTGCAGCAAATCTTTCTACAATTTCAGTTGAAAAAATTAGGAATTGAAAACTAAGCATTTAAAAAAATATGATTTAATAATAAAAAAAAAATTTTCTCTGTCCTCTATAGGTTGTCGTGTTACATCTGTGTATCTTTTAGTTTCGTTTGCCATTGTACTCGCTGTCCTTAAAGTTGAATTTACTGATTTCAAATACTGCAAAATAAAAGTTGAAGAATTTAGCATATAAAAAGAATACCTTACATTATAAAGATATAAAGTTACTACTATATATAATTATATTGTAAATTCTGGACTTGTAAAATGAAAATACACTTTATAAAGAGATCTATAGAGCAATTTTTTCCTGCATTTGTTTCACTTAAAAAAGGTCAATGTCTAAAAGTTATCAAGTCCTTCTAGAAATTGCATGTTTTTTCAAATTTCTGTATCTGCAACTGATATATATAACTGTAGAATACATTTAACCTCATGCCAGTACTAGGTTGTTATTGCTTTTTTCAATATTTGTTTTTCATTGAACTATAACATAATTGGTCTTGTCTATTTTTTAAAATTTTAATTTTGGTGTTTAGTGTTTAGTTGTGTTTATAAAAGCTATATTTTGCTTTCATTTGTTATCATAGGTGTCTTATTGGCAGTCAAACCACAGATCTCTTATTTAATACCAAACTGCTTTTATTAGAAGATTTCTTGTTTTAATTTAAGTAATACTTTCTAATACATAATGTCTTAAAAAGATTAAAAAAAATATCTCCTGTCTTACACAATTTTAATAATATTCATGTGCATAAATCTGTTGTCTAATATTTTTTCGACTCTACAAAGTTAAGAAGACACTTTAAATATCACTATTTTGAACTATAAGAGCATGCACTTATTCAAAATGGTGGACATTCTACTCCATTGTACTTACCAAAAGATGTTATCCAAAATATGTGTAAACCCCAAACTTCCTAAATCCAAGAGTCATGTCATCTGAAGGCTACATCTGCACTATCCAGTGTCAATAGAATTAATTAGAACTTTTGGATCTAAATCCATTGTAAAATTCATATTTTGTTCATGATAGAAGACATCTTTGTTTGTTGTGTGAATGTTCATGTCCAGTTCAAATTTTGAATTTGTTGATCGAGGTACCGGTTGTTGAGGGTATTGTGACAGTGTGATCCCTTTGAAATTTGCCCCTAATTATAAATATCAATTGCCTAAATCTTGAATATTTGTTATGTATTATAATAAAAAAATAATCATCTATTTTTTATTTTTTTATCTTTGATGTTATAAGTTATAATGAAAATATATATTATATGTATATATATATATATATATAAAAGTTCTACCCTTAATTTGGCCTCAAACTCTGTGTACATTAATTTATAATACTTCCTGTCTTTGCCACTACATAGAGATAAATTGAAAACAGATGGCACTTACATTTCTATTACCAGCTCATATTACTAATTGAGATGAGAAAGAAGGCATGCAATTTTATAAATTATTTGTGTATACATAATTTTAAAATAATGATACTAGAAATTAAACAAAATGCAACCTGCAGGTGAGGCTAAATTCATTTGATGGAAAATATAAAAATAAAAATATTGTTCATAGATAAATGTCACAAAAAAGTGACAAAAAGGCATATAATACATATAGAACAAAAATCATTATGTCTCAATTATTTAGATTAAACTTGTTGAAATAAATACCAAAGTATTCTTGAAATTCTTTCCTTATTACAAAATATCATATAAATGTGATGTAAAGTTTAGGAATTCTTTATAAGCATTGTTATTTGAAGATTTTTTAAAAATAAATTATTCAAATTTCCAGATATTTCTGAGTAAAATAAAGTATGACGATAACAAATTTAGATAATAAGAAGTATCCATAACCAAATGTTCAAAGAAACATGTCGTGTAATGAACCATAAATCTTAAAAAATAATCATATGTTATATTTTGAAATGCTTGAAATATTGGTGCAAATTAACTATCATGTCTGACATTATTAAAGAAACGTTTCTTGCAAAGTTGTTGCAAATAGTTATTCCTTAAACAATAAAAGAAAAGGTTCCTGCAACTTTCTAGCAAACAAACTCTTTCTTGCAACATTGCAGCAAACTTGCTGCAATTTTCTTGCAAACAAATTTTGTTGCAGTAACATTGCGAGAATGTTGCAGGTAGCTGCAACAACCTGCAACTTTCTTGCAAACACTTCTTGCAAACAAATTTGTTTGCCGCAATATTGCAGCTATATTGCTGCAATATTGCAGCAAACTTTTCATTTCTGTAAGGGGATTTATTATGCCCCCGTGACAAAATGTCGGGGGCATTTTAATTTACCCCTGTCTGTCCGTCTGTCTGTCCATTCGTCCATCCGGATTGGGATACATTGTTTGTCCGGCTATCTCCTACAGTTTTGGAGGTACAACTTTAATATTTTGTAGGATGTTCATACACATAATGAAGGTGTGCATGGCCACAGGATTTTGATTTTTTTTTCAAATATTCTGAAAATGACAGGTAGTTGGACTTAGTCATTTTTTTGGTACTAGCTGCATAAAGAGATCATGGTTTTCTGGCTATCTCCTCCTACAGCTTTGGAGATACAGCTTTAATATTTTGTAGGATGTTCAAACACATAATGGAGGTGTGCATGTCCACAGGATTTTGATATCTTTTAAATATGCTAAAAATGACAGGTAGTTGGACTTAGTCATTTTTTTGGTACTAGCTGCATAAAGAGATCATGATTGTCCAGCTATCTCCTCCTACAGTTGCATCATCATACATAGTGTTAAATTTATAATTTCCTATGGTCAGGCGGGGGCATCATTTGTGTCTTACAGACAGCGTAACAATTTCAAGTTGTATGCCAACATCACTGTTTGTCAAATCTAAAATATATGGAACTATACTCATGCATATGGCAGAGAAGAAAAGGGGAAAGGGGGGGGGGGGGGGGGGGGGGGGGGGGGGACATTGTCCATATCTAGTTTATTGCTGTTTTCTTACTCTTTCAAATGTTTGTTGTTTTAAATTTAATCAGAATTTTTTTTGAAAGGGAAGTTTTCAAAAGTTGTAATAAAAGGGATGGATTTATAATTATGACAGTTGTACAAATAAGATATTTTGAACGAGGTAATGTTATTCCTTGTTTATGGGTGCAAATCAATACTGCCATATATTTCATACAGTAGGCACAGTTTGAATTGTGTGTGGTGAAGTGACAACTTGTCAATAGAAAATCTTAGTCACTGTACAATCTTTGAAGTATAAATGTTATAGTGATATGTTTTTTGTCAAAAATACAAAAATAAAGTTCAAATGCCAAACAACTTGAAATTCATTATGAACATTTCAAATCCAATGGTAATCTTATGATGACCTTAACTGTTTACAATTGAAAAAATATCATTTCAAACTATTACGGTATCTGTTTCCATGTTGTCTTTGACCTTTCACACTACAGATTGATGACCTTTATCTCTCTCTATATATATAAAGCTTCTATGTCACTAGGTGACCTTGACTTTTCACATGAAAAACAAAGAATTTCTTTATTTTACTTGATTTTTATGATGTTATCACAAGGATGATGAAAGTTTGAAATCTCAACTATTACTTTTACTCATTGACTAGATCTGTATTATTAAATCCTTGGTCTTTAAATTGCAGATGGAAAACATTATCACTGGTATTAAAGACACCAACCTTAAGTTGACCTTGGCCTTTGGTATTGGTATTCACCATGCTGGCTTGGTGGAGAGAGACAGAAAAGTTGTAGAAGAACTGTTTGTCAATCAAAAGATACAAGTAAGTGAAAGGATTTACCTTTTTTATAACGTTGGTTTCAATGAGATACTGTGTGAAATAAAAACTGATAATTTTGAATGTAAAATAACCCTGATAATTTCACTCCTGTGACCTGATTCAACAATGAGTGTTGTCGATAACTTTGCATCAAAACTAATTGGGAATGCATAGTTCCTTGTATTTTCTATTTTATTTCCATTAAAACACTAGCCATGCAGTCAACACTTTGGTTGTCAGTTCGAATCCTGCACAGGGCAATCTTAATTGTTAGTTTTTCTACTAAAGGTTGATGGTTCTCTCCGGGCACTCTGGCTTCCTCCACCAATAAAAACTAACCACCACAATAGTGTTGAAAGTGACGTTAAACACCAATCACAATAAATATATATAATTATAATTTAAGCTTGAGTACTCATTTTCTGAACAAAGAAAGATAACTCTGTTTTTATACGACCGCAAAAATTGAAAATTTTTTGGTCGTATATTGGTATGACGTTGGCGTCGTCGTCGTCGTCGTCGTCGTTGTCGTCGTCGTCTTCGTCGTCCGGCGTCGTCTGGCGTCGTCCGAAGACACATTGGTTTTCGCACTCTAACTTTAGTTTAAGTGAATGGATCTCCATGAAATTTTACCATAAGGTTCAATACCATGAAAGGAAGGTTGGGATTGATTTTGGGGGTTATGGTACCAACAGTTAAGGAATTAGGGGCCAAAAAGGGGCCAACAATAAGCATTTTTGTAACTTCCAGACAATAACTTGTGTGTAAGTGTATGGATCTCTCTGACATTGTACCACAAGGTTCCATATCACACAGGGAATGCTGGGATTGATTTTGGGGGTAATTGCCTCAAAATGTTAGGAATTAGGGGCCAAAAAAGGGGCAAAAAACAAGCATTTTTCTAGTTTCATGACAATAACTTGTGTGTAAGTGTTTGGATATTTCTGAAATTGTACTACAAGGTTCCATATCACAAAGGGAAAGCTGGAATTGAGTTTGGGGGTAATTGCCCGAAACGTTTAGGAATTGGGGGCCAAAAAGGGGCCAAAAATAAGCATTTTTCTAGTTTCCAGACAAATAACTTGTGTTCAAGTGTATGGATCTCTCTGAAATTGTACTGCAAGGTACCATACCACAAATGGAAGGCTGAGATTGAGTTTGGGGGTGATGATTCATAAGGGGGTTCAAAAAATTTTGGGGGGGGATTTTTTTTTTTCTTTTTTTCCTTTTTTTTTTCTTTTAAAATTTTCCATTTTAAGTTGGTTATTTCTGATTTATATTTAAAAGCAAATAATAATGATATGGTAGGAGATACACACCAAACAGGATGTGTAAATTATTATATAATAAGTATTGTGCAATAGCAAGAAATTTTCAATTGCACAGTATTGCACAATAGCAAGAAATCTTCAATTGCACAGTATTGCGCAATAGCAAGAAATCTTCAATTGCACAGTATTGCGCAATAGCAAGAAATCTTCAATTGCACAGTATTGCGCAATAGCAAGAAATATCCAATAGCACAATATTGCGCAATAGCAAGAAATTGTCAATTGTACAGTATTGCGCAATAGCAAGAAATAATCAATTGCACAGTATTGTGCAAAAGAAGATACTTCGTATAAATTGCTTATTTCTTGATCAATTTCAATGGGGATTTATTCTTGAATTCTTGGGGTTCTTTAATATGCTGAATCTAAACGTGTATTAAGTTTTTGGATTTTGGGCCCTGTTTTTAAATTGGTCCACATTGAGGTCCAAAGGGTCCAAAATTTAACTTTGTTTGATTTCATCAAAAATTGAATTATTGGGGTTCTTTGATATGCCGAATCTAACCGTGTATTTAGATTCTTAATTTTTGGTTCTGTTTTCAAATTGGTCTACATAAAGGTCCAAAGGGTCCAAAATTAAACTTAGTTTGATTTCAACAAAAATTGAATATATGGGGTTCTTTGATATGCTGAATCTAACCATGTATTTAGATTTTTGATTATGGGCCCAGTTTTCAAGTTGGTCCAAATCGGGGTCCAAAATTAAACTTTGTTTGATTTCAACAAAAATTGAATATATGGGGTTCTTTGATATGCTGAATCTAACCATGTATTTAGATTTTTGATTATGGGCCCAGTTTTCAAGTTGGTCCAAATCGGGGTCCAAAATTAAACTTTGTTTGATTTCAACAAAAATTGAATATATGGGGTTCTTTGATATGCTGAATCTAACCATGTATTTAGATTTTTGATTGTTGGGCCCCGTTATCAACTTTGTCCACATTGAGATCAAAAGGGTCCAAAATTAAACTTTGTTTGATTTCATCAAAAATTGAATATATGGGGTTCTTTGATATGCTGAATCTAACCATGTATTTAGATTTTTGATTATGGGCCCAGTTTTCAAGTTGGTCCAAATCGGGGTCCAAAATTAAACTTTGTTTGATTTCAACAAAAATTGAATATATGGGGTTCTTTGATATGCTGAATCTAACCATGTATTTAGATTTTTGATTATGGGCCCAGTTTTCAAGTTGGTCCAAATCGGGGTCCAAAATTAAACTTTGTTTGATTTCAACAAAAATTGAATATATGGGGTTCTGTAATATGCTGAATCTAACCGTGTATTAAGTTTTTGGATTTTGGGCCCTGTTTTAAAATTGGTCCACATTGAAGTCCAAAGGGTCCAAAATTTAACTTTGTTTGATTTCATCAAAAATTGAATTATTGGGGTTCTTTGATATGCCGAATCTAACCGTGTATTTAGATTCTTAATTTTTGGTTCCGTTTTCAAATTGGTCTACATAAAGGTCCAAAGGGTCCAAAATTAAACTTAGTTTGATTTTAACAAAAATTGAATTTTTAGGGTTCTTTGATATGCTGAATCTAAACATGTATTTAGATTTTTGATTATGGGCCCAGTTTTCAAGTTGGTCCAAATCGGGGTCCAAAATTAAACTTTGTTTGATTTCAACAAAAATTGAATATATGGGGTTCTTTGATATGCTGAATCTAACCATGTATTTAGATTTTTGATTTTTGGGCCCTGTTATCATTTTTGTCCACATTGAGATCAAAAGGGTCCAAAATTAAACTTTGTTTGATTTCATCAAAAATTGAATTCTTGGGGTTCTTTGATATGCTGAATCTAACCATGTATTTAGGTTTTGGATATTGGACCATAATAGGTGAATGTCCAATTTAAAATTTTTAAGTTCTTAGACCACATTCATTCTGTGTCAGAAACCTATGCTGTGTCAAATATTTAATCACAATCCAAATTCAGAGCTGTATCAAGCTTGAATGTTGTGTCCATACTTGCCCCAACTGTTCAGGGTTCGACCTCTGCGGTCGTATCAAGCTGCGCCCTGCGGAGCATTTTATTAAAGGCAGTGCTTTAATGCCTTTCTAGTTGCCAGGTTAATCCTTCCTTCCGCGATATCCAACTTATCTACGTGGGGGGTCATTAGGCTCCAAGTAGATCCGGAAATGTTGAATTCTCTCCTCTTCTTATTGTGATATAAAATGTTTTTTGTTTCATTTCATTTACATTGGGAAATAGAGAAACGATCATTGTGTTTTGTTAGTTTTAAAAACTTTTGATATATTTGTATTTTGCATTATAAGCAGTCAACCGATTGACAAACTAGAATTATTTGAATTCCGTGTGGAAAGAGCTCGGGTTAATTTCGAGTGTTATCTGCAATCTAGATGTTTATAAATCATTTCAGTCGTTGATATAATAATTAAGAGTCGACTGAACATTAATTATATTATACAATTTAAAGCGCATTTCTGTTTATGCACGTGAACCCGTCTAACGTTATTGTTATTTCGCAGTTATATAAAGTAGCAAATTATCGTTCCTGAATAGGTGGCGCCGTGGTAGCCGATCCTGTTCCTCAACTTCCGGTTTCTGCACTGTGCAACTATTTCAGTTACATTTTAAATTAACGATGCCAAGTACTTGTTGTTGTGTACCTGGATGTCATTTAAGAGGAGGACATGCATTTCCAAATGACTTAAAAAGAAGGAAAAGTTGGATCAACGCCATGGCCCAAACGCAGATTGGACGAGAACACGATTTCATCGTGGAGTCCATCTCAATCAGCTGTTGTTTGCAAGGCACATTTTACTGAAAAAAGACTACGTGCAGGAAACTATTCATGGTAAAACTCTATTTTCTTTTTGAAATATATAGTTATATATGTAATCGCCATGCGAATAAACCAAAGTCTGTTTACAACCGCAATTATCGTTTTAGAATAAAAGGGGGTGGTTAATTCAAGACGTCATAATTTTTTGGATTACGATTCAATGTGATCTGTTTGAGATTTTTTGGTGATTGCTACAGTTATAATGATTTCTTACAAGAGGTATATCATACTGAGAATTATTTTAGCACTAATTATGCTAATGTAGTAATGACAGGAATGCATAAGCTATGTCTCATAGACTTTCTTGAAAAATATCAATGACAATGTTAACAGGAACAAAACAATGACATGCTCTCATCAATATTATAGTTATTTAGGTACAAACAATGTACGTTTGTTGCATAAGTCTCTCATTGTTTGTCCTTTGGATTTACATAACATACATTGAATCAGGCAAACATAGTTTTATCCAGATTGTAATGAATAAATCTAGTTAATATTTCGCCATGTAATACAAAGTATACATTGCTAATGGAAGTTCATTTAATTATCAAAAAACTAATGTTTTATAACCTTTTTCAGGGCGCAAACCCACCATACAGAGACCTAAGTCTACTGCCATTCCCAGCCTATTTTCCTGGACCAAGCAAGAGACTGAATCGTCCGCAAAAAGAAAAATCAGGGCAGTTTCCTGTGAAAACAAAAGAACTAAACTTGATGAATATTGTACATGTAGTAGAAATCTAGAGGAAAGTTTTGATTGTAAAGTTGGTTTTCCTGAAGAAGTCATTCATAATGCAGAAAGGATTTATGACTGTCCACCACCAACTGCTGAGCTAATGTTGAGCTTCAAAGA